ATTTTTCATATTTGGTATTTCTTTTCTTACAATAATGAGATGTTAAACATAAATAACTATGTTTAATATAAAGTCTTAGAAAAAGTTTTAATTAAAAAGCCCGACCGTGCAGCGCACGGGATACACACTAGTATATTGACAAACATAGAGATACTTCATTCTTTCATCCATTGTTTGACACTTTTTCATTACTTTACCATTAAGACATTTAAAAAAAATAAAAATAAAAGAAAACCACTTTTTTCATCACTTTTATTGTTCTTATTCTTTTTCTTCAAATAATCACTTTTATTGAGTAATTTATATATTAAAAAAAATAAAAAAAAACATGTGGACAAAAAAAAAAGAAAAGAAAAAAAAGAGAGTGGACAACAATAAAAAGCACGCATTTAAGCAATACGTTTTCTAAATACGTTTAAGGAATACAATTTGTATAGAAAACGTATTCCCTAAATACGTTTTTTCAGATTTTTTTACAAAAGAAAACGTATTCAGTGAATACATTTTACAATTAAAAAAAGGGTAAAACGTATTCACTGAACACGGGGTTTTTATTTTGGTCCACTCTCATTTGTTTGTGTATTTTTTTTTCCAAAACTTAATTTTTTTTTTTAATTTTTTGGTAAAAAATTCCACTTTTATTATTAATATTTTTTTTTCAAAATAATCTATTATCAAGTTTTAAATATATGAATTTCATATTTAAACAATTTTTTTTTTTTTTTGAAGAATTTAAACAAAAATACTGGAACACACATCACTTTCAAAAGTATTATTTAAATTTCTATAATATTATATTATAAAATGATAGTAACAATTATACAACGTGGAAAATTGTTTAAATTTTTTGTAAATCAGAATTTTTGCCAAAAAAAATAAATAAATAAAAAGAAAATAAAATATTGAATGGTACATTTATTATTTACAAAGTGTACCAAAAAAAAAAAACCAGCATTTGATTGATTTTTACTGAAAACTAATAGGAGATATGTTACAAATATTATAAAATCCTAATCTACGGAAGTAAAAAATCTATTTTTTTCTTATCATTGAAAAAGCTAGAAAAAGTAAAATTGAAAATAGGGAGACTTGTTTTCAAATTGAACAACTTACAGGAGACACTAGAGAAACAATACAAAAGTTACAAAACAAATGGGAATTACACTGAAAATCTTCTTGGCTTCTACGCAGTTCAAGAGAATCTGCTCACACCGACATGAAACGACCATCATTATACTCGATCCTAAACATCAGAATCTTTCGAAATTTATGCAGAACAAATGTACAAAAGCAATTAGATACGAGTACAAGAGGTGCCAACTTAGCTTGCAGTTAAACACAGTAGCTTTCTCTATGAGCATATCACATTAATTGACTAAAATGAACAGTGGATGATATCAGGTTCCGTATTGTTCATCATGTCCCAGCAGGATGGAGAGAAAGAAAATTCACACCGACTTGTCGGCGAATATGCTCGGGTATTAACTTGTTTATCAACTCAGGGGATGCTCCTGCTAACTGCCATCATGAAAAACTTTGGTGTTAAATACAAGGAAAGAGCTCGAAATTTCTCGACACTGTAAATAAACAAGGATTTCCAAAATATTTAACTGTTCTTTTGCCTCATCCTGAAAAGCAACTGTATGTTGTTGACCAACATGACTTTATTGAAATAGGGAATTAAGATGCATATGATATTTGCAGAAAATGCAGAAAAGAAAAAGAGAGTAAAGGGGAACAAGTCAGAAAGCATACTTCCTGCTTAAAATTGAAAAGAGGGGGGAAAGGGCGACCGTTTGGGAGACGGGCATTGGGCTCCCGGAGCTCATCAAAGAAAGGATGCACACACGCTTCTAGCTGCAAATAGGAAAAACGAAAAACAGAAGACTAATTAATTCACTTAATCAATCATCAAATTTACGCAAATTATCAAATATACAAAATATCAAAAACTAAAATTAGGGAAGATTTGACAATTTCTGCACCATCTAGCACTTTACAAGGGACTTCATGAAAAAAATAACATTTAAGGGTAACACGTGATAACAGAAACTCAAAGGAGAGTAATAAATGAAACATACTGCTGTGCAACGAAGATTTGGTGAGTACTGAAGCAGCCGTGAAGCGAGATCAATGGCCTCAGGAGGCATCCGCTTATGGAAAACCTGAGACGTGTCCATAGTTTAAGATAATGCATATGAATGGAAGATTTTTGGTATACAACACAGAGGACATAAATGGCAATGCATATCATACCTTATGCCATGGATGGGCTTTAATCTGGGGAAATCTGAAATCAGTGTAATTCGGGTTCATGCATCTAATTTCTTCTCGAGTTGGAGTACCAAGAACCTATTTTATAAAGTTGAAAAGTTAGTTACAACATAACACAATTTACATGTTATCCCAAAACAAAAAGTAATGTAAATAGTGCAAGGCACACCTTGATAATCTCTACAAGTTGATCAACTGCATTTTCTCCCGGGAAGAGAGGCTGTCATAGCACAAAAGTGTGCATTGCACAAAGAAAGCATAAGAAAAACATTTATTTAACTCGAGCATCAAAACAGCAATGGCACAAAACCTGGCCCAAGAGTAACTCAGCAAGGACGCAGCCAGCTGACCAGATATCAATTGATGTTGTATATTCAGTGGCACCAAATATAAGTTCTGGAGCTCGATAGTAACGTGAGCAAATGTAGGATATATTAGTTTCACCCTTCACCTGATATTATCAGTTTAGCGGATAAGAAAATGTCTGAAAGTATGAGCGCAGCATGCAGAGGCCATCAACGTATTAACGACTAATAATAATACCAAATTCATAGTGTCGATTACACATTCGTGGGAATACAGATTATCTTCCCAAGGACCAGCAAATGGAATGACTGTCATTATATGTCCTGTCAATCCCTCACTTCTGATAGAGAGCCAAACAGGCTGACTCTTCCCAATAATGACATAAGGGGAGGGACAAAAGAAGGGGGGGATGTCAATCAATCCCTTATCTGGTCAAGGAGACGACTGATCTAGGGTTACCAAAGCATCGTCCACAAAACATCTACATACTTTGTCTAATATAATTATTCTACTAAACCAATTGTCACCGTGATTCTTATTCCTTCTTGTTCTACTTATATAGATTTTTTATTCTTTGCTAACTGAATACTCTAGTCTCCAGAGATTATTTTTTTTTCCTTAAAAAGGAGAGGCAGTTGATTACTTATTCACCCATCCAAGTCCGTCTTAGATAAACTTTTGATAAGTTTCCAAGAAATGTAAATGTTTTGCAATTCAAGATCAAATGAATTCGATATATGCAAATGAACACTCAAGCGGTCTAACTGAAAGAAAGAGTTACTCGTTGAGAACTAGTAACAAGTTTCTGGCTGATAAAATAATGTAATCAACTTACAAGAACTTTAGCACTTCCAAAATCACAAATCTTGACCTGGTGAGTAAGAGGATCTACCTGCAGATGAAACACAGTATTACAATGTATATAAGAGAGAGAGAGAGAGAGAGAGAGAGAGAGAGAGAGAGAGAGAGAGAGAGAGATGAACAGTTCAACTGGTCCAGTCACTTACCAATATATTTTGAGGCTTTATATCTCTATGGGACACCCCAGCAACGGTATGCATATATGCAAGCCCCCTAAATAACTGAAACACAAATGCAAGCATTGAATTGGATTCTTAGAGATACTGAATCCTACAGAAGTTCCCTCGGAGATAGAAAAAACAGGACAGATAAGAACCTGATAGGTGTACAGTTTGACATAGATGAGTGGCATTCTCTGATTTGAATTGGTATAATGCTTTAGAACCTTATACATAGTCTCAGGTACATAATCCATCACCAAATTAAGGAAAAGCTCATCTCTGGTTGTCGTAGAAAAGAAACAATGTTTAAGAGAAATCACATTTGAATGATCCATCAACCTCATTAACTGCAGCTCACGATTTTTATATCGTCTATCCTGCAGAACCTTCTTTATGGCCACAGTCTCTCCCGTTTCTAAGCACTTTGCCTGCAGAAAAATCGTTTCAGTTGGTTATCTCCAAAAGAAACAGTTCAATAAACAATTCTGATCGTGTCAGGATCACATTACCTGGAAAACTATTCCAAATGATCCTGTACCGACGACACGCTCAGCCTTGTAACTAATTGTCTGCTTAAAGCACAATGAGCAAGCTCTTAGCTCCAATTAAGAACATTATCAAGACAAGAATTAAATAATTAATTAACCTCATATAATCGAGTATCATTGTAAGCCCTCCACTTGTTCCTAGTTTACACTAAGCCTTATGTCGTAAATTAAGTCAATTCTTTTAACACGAAGGTCCATAAATTTTAAAACCCAAAAATATAATTCAGCACCCACCCGTTTGGGCTCCCCATTTTTCCCTCCAATAGTAGTGGAAATAATGTGACCGGTGAGTGGATCATTCCCATCAACCGCAGACCCTGTCATATCCTGTATTTACAAAGCAACCCAGATCGTCAATGTCTGGTCAGTGATCATATTTACAAGCAATGAATCAGAAATACACTCAGTTAAAGAATCATAAAATGTTAAGGTAGGTGGAATAAGGAATTCGAAGAAGAAGAAGAACAATTTAAGAGATGCAATGCTTACAACCAAAAAACGCATTGTCTGCTATGAACTAAGGTTTTAAAAGAAAGCATCACAAGCGAGAAATCTTGAGAAGGAAACAAAGAGATTACTATTATTTTAAGGAGAATATAGTGTTAACCAGATAGAAGAAGCAATCCCCAACTCAGAAATATTTGAAACGTTCACCTAAAGTTAAAGAAAAGCAGGTAAAGGATATATCAAAGAAAAATACCCAAGTTTGGGAAAGGGCCAGTAACTTCAAGTTGAAACTACACAGGCACAAAACTTCAATAAAAAATGAAAAAGCACCAAGCTTAACTAACAATAAAACTTGAAGAAGGTATCACCGAATTGAATTCATTTGATCTCTAAAACTGATACAGTACAGAAAAAAAAAATGAGCCATACACCCACAAGAAAAAAATGAACCAGAGACAGACGCTATTATTCTCTTTTCTCAACATAGTTGAGCTCAAACTCTAAAGTCTGGAAATAAAATATTCCCCTAAGGCTAAGCTAGCTGACTTTCAGATCGCCGCGGATACACTTCCCCCAATCTCCTCAGGAAGCAAAGATCGGAAGCCAATTAAGTAGATCGATTTGAGAAAAGCGTGCTGGAAGCTATGGTTTCGCCAATCAGTGCAGATGGAAGCTTAGAGGCCAAGAAAATGAAGAGAGTTAGAGAGATGGCGTACCTTGTCGGTGTCCATGGCGTCGGAGGCGGCGGCGGCGAGCTTCACGGCAGCGGGAGGTGGAGCTTGGTCAAGAGCATTGTGGTGGTGGTGGTGCAGCTGGTCGTGGTCGGGTGGTGGATTATGGTGATGGTGCTGGGGTCCCAGCGGCAACGACGCCATGTGACTTTCCTTCTCTCTGTCTCTATCTTCATTTAATATATACTTTACAGTCCCACAGTTCTATTATTAATTAGTTGAGCTCGTCTAAGAATATTGTTTCACTTTTCTATGTTTTTCTTAATTTATGAATTAAGAAAAATTCATAATGAAAATAAAAGTAAAATTCCTAGAATATAATGAAAATGTAGTAAAATTTCTAAGAGCATCTCAGTGCACTGTTTTTAAGTGTAAAAAATAAGTGTCATGTCACAATGTCTTCATACTTATCTTTTTAATGGACACTGTTATAATCTCATTATTTATGGCGTGGCTTAACAGTAGTCAAGCCCACTATTTGAAGTCAGAAAAAGTGCATTCGACGGTGTGACTCAAAAAAAAAAACTTCTTATAAAACTAGATAAATAAGCCTCGTCAGCATGAGGTAGATCGTCTTCCCCGCTAGGCTCGTGTAGTCTCTAAGGTCGATCTTTCGACCAACGTACCCACAGGCCGAGTTTCTATCAAGCTATCCAAGGGCCCTACCTCGACATGTTGGCGACGCCATTTTCTGCAACGTCTTCGTCGATCTGAGGGCTCTGTTCGACCTGCAACTCTGGTCGATCAAACTAGATCGCCCAACCTGGTTGGCTGATTTCTCAGGTTTACTCGACTCGGTATGGTATTTCATATTAAGTAGTATTTCATTACATGAACAAGTATCGTTGTAACTGTTTCTATAATGAAACATGTATCACTATTGTATAAGCAAGTCTCAGTTATCATTTCATCAATATGGGGTGAAGTGAGCTTGAGGCATTTCCACACGTGTGGCCCCTGAAAAGTGCTAAGTCGGCGTCGGGTCCGGCGGCCGTTCGTTGCGGTTGACCCTAAGTAGGATCGTAACTGTCACTTGACTTCAATAGATTTAAAGACGCGTTGTACCACCACATGCTACATGTCGTCAACTAGATCTTGAACGTCCGGGTATATCGTCGACCTTGAAAATAGGGGTTGACCACTCGTAGATGCTACAATTTTTCACTTTGGTAGCCGTCCTCCAAGTCCACGATCACGAGCACTCTACGTTGTATACCTTAAATAGAATTTATAAAACAAAATGAGGGGTGAAAATTTTAAAATGCTAGAAATGACAATGTTATTTGGAGATTGTAAATGAGAGAATACTATCGGGAGATTCATAGATATGGCTATATCAGAATCGAAACTGAAATAAGAGAGAATTTATAAAATAAGAACCGAATTTATCTAGAAGAGGAATCGAAATAAGAGTATAACCAGAGATTAAGCGAGTAAGCTAAAAAATAGCTTGGTGTATTTTTATTTTTTTTTTCTTAGGGAAAATACAAAGGAATATTTATTCGATTTTTTTTTTTTAAATCGTGAAACACCGGTTCAGGGCCGAACCGTTGCTTCAAATGGTTCTAGGCATGGACCGTCCCAGCCCGAAACAATATTAACTTAAGGAAAAAAGGACTTTTTGTAACATCAACAATCAAAACAATCAAACGGTCCAAATTTTTACGGTTTCGGTTTCCATTTTTCGCCCGACTAGGTCCAAAATTGGAAAAAATAAAAAAACAAACTCTGTTATAAATTAATTTGATTTCTTAAAAAATAACTAGTATCGTGGCCCGTGCAAATGCACGAAACTACTCGAAATACGGTTTTGCTTTAAGTCCACAGTTGGCTCCATAGTGAAGTTAACCTTCTTTATAAAGCAAGTAAACCATACCATATTAATAAAATTATATTAGTGTTATTTAAGTAATCAGAGAATATAGTTGATTTACTTATTGTATATAACTCAACTATGAAACAAAATGTTAACTTCATAGCAAAACCGTTATTTTTATGAAATATAACAATGTGGACAAAAAAATTATTAATAAACGAAAAGTTGGGTAACTAAATTGATTTAGTTGGGACATCATGTAATAAATGTGCAAATGTGTATAGTTAGGGTATAAAAAATGTTCAAATCATTTTATTATCTTAACACTTTTTATTACAGTTGGTTTGAATTTTATTATTCATCTTTTCTTTAAGATATACATATCCTTTTATTTTATAATTTTGTACATACTTAACTTCTATATTTTTTTTTTCAAATTTATTTATTCAACATTTTATTATATATTGAAATTACAACTATTATATTATTTTAAAAAATTTAATCATCAAATGAATTACCCACTCTTAATATTAGAAGTAACTAATGTTAATGTACCGTTAGTAATTATAAAAGTTTATGTAAGTGAACAAATAATGAGCAATGACATTCTTTAAATGAAAAGACCCATTGCATGCTTTTTAACTTTATAAATGAACATCTAATTTTTATTATGTTATATGTTATGTGTCAGAACCAATATATGGTGTAATTGATTTATTTTTCTCAATATTATGTAAAGTTATCATGTTAACATCATTATCATCGAAATTAAAACTTGAGGTTCTAAATATTAGCAGTTGTATCATGTGAACATATATGCAAACTCAATTTGCTAGTTTATCTAAATCGTGGTGGTTATGAGACTCCAACTTCTCCACGATTTCACCAGTACTAATTCACTTATCTTAAAACTGAAAATATATTTATGCTATTAATATGTAGGATGATCTTTTATCTAGTTTTTTGTTATGCTGTAATCTTTTCGTAATTTTTTTATCCGGTTAGCATTCTAAACATTTTTTTTTTTGCCAGGTGTAAAGACAAATCTTAAGTTTTTTATTAATAAAAACATTTTTTAGAAGAAAAAATCCTTCTAATAGCTTGTGTGGGTTTATAATTTAAAATGTAATTTTATTTATTAACTATTATTTGCTATACATGTAATTACAATTTTTTTATTTGTTAACCATTCATTTATGTAAATAAGTACCATATTATTATTTAGTATATCATATGTTTAGGAAGGCATTAAATATAAATTATTATTTAATACACATCATAAATAATCACCGTGATTCAACATATTTTTAAGAAGGCACCAAATATAAATTAATATTTAATACACATCATAAATAAGTCACCGTAACTCAACATATTATGTACATGTAACAAGATAATTTATGTTATATTAATAAGAAATAAAAAAATAAATTTAAACTGCCTATATATAAATGACAACAAATTTGGGTCTACTTTTTCTATTAAACTATTATTAAAAAAAATTAACGAAGGGTTAATATTGAACACATTTAAGAAAATAATAAAAAAAATTGAAATTAACTTTCCAATAATAGTAATATGATGAGTGACTACTAAAATACTTAGGGGTGATTGGATATGAATTCCACTAGTAAAAAAACTAGTTTTTTTTTTTTTTTTT